AAAAAAAAAAAAAAGTTGTCCACAAACATATGACATGTCATAGACTATCACAAAAGTGCTAAGAAATTCAGTTACAACCTACAGAATACAACCTACAGAAGTTGTCTTGAAGTTATACCTAATTGTTTGGACTTCTCTTTTGTGTCCTCTGGAAGCTCTTACAGTTTAAGAATTGAGACAATGTTACATCTGGTGGACCACACAACTGGGGACCTGCCAAGTAGAGACACGGATTCAGTAACTCTGTGGAAAGGTAAATCAATTTTGCAAACGGGAAGGGAACCGGGAAGGGAACCAGGAGATGGGTGAGGGAGAAGGGGGAGGCCTTTGAGAATTAAAACAACTCTGCCGTATGGGGCATCTTGCTGGCCTTCACAGTGACCGCTTTGCTGTAAGCTCTTTTCTCCAATCTTTTAAACATCTCCTTCATAAACTCTGTCTTAGGTGAGGGTGTTAGGATTGAACCCTGAGGTGTTGCTCTGAGCTTCATTCACAGCCCTTTATACTTTTTTTTTTTTTTTTTGAGACAGGATCTCACTAAGTCACTAAATTGCCCAGGGTAGGTTCAAACTTTTAATTCTCTTGCCTCAGCCTGCCCAAGTGCTGGGATTACAGGTGTGCCTTGCTACACAAGCTCTGAATTCTGGGGATCAAACTCAGAACTTTGCATTTGTCAGGCAGGTGCTGGCTCCCTGGCCCTTCTAAATTTTTTTTAGTAAAAATACTGTCATGCAGATTTAGGAAATAAAAAAGGCAAGAACAATCTAGTAGGCTGGAGATGTAGCTCAGTGGCAGAGTGCTTGCCAAGTAGGCATGAGGCGCTAGATTCAATCATAAGTACTGAAAATAAAATAAAATAAAATAAAATAAAAAAGCCCAGTAGATTTCACTCAACTATCAGTGTAATCAGCCCTCAGTCCCAATAAGCAGAGATAGGCGATTTAAGACAAAAAGCTTCAGCCTCACGAGAGCTGTTTCCACACAGGCCTTGAGATATTTTTGTAATTTTGTTCCTAGTCTCCCACCCTTCAATCCTAATCATAGCTACTGTTGAGTCTATTTTCACTTCATAATTTTTTAAAAGGATAGGGTACTTTATGCACTGCCCACCAGCATATGCAACCCTTCTGGAAAAAAGCTTGGAATTATGTAATACCAGTTCAAGACACAATGCTACTCTTGCACATAAAATTTACAGAAATAATTAGAGACATCTAGCATTTTAGTCAAAAGAATAACAAGTAGGACCTTGCACAGTGGTATATGCTGTACTGCAGCTCCTATGGAAGTTGAGGTGGTAGCATCTTGAATTCGGGCCATCTTGAGACAAGCAGTGAGACCCTGCCTCAAAAACAAAACCATCCTAGGACCAGGGAGACAGCTTGGTGGTCTAAGCACCTGCCTGGCAAGCACAAGGACCTAGATTTGATCCCTGGTACCGCATGCCATGCTTACCCTGTGCCATGCCAGCCCCCAAAACCGGGTGTGGTGGTACACGCCTAGAATCCCAGCACTAAAGCGAGGCTGATATAGGAGGATCACTGTGAGTCCAAGCTGCTTAGTGAGGCCTTGTACCAAATAAATAAATAAATAAAATAGAAACAGATAAAAACCATCCTACCACTCTGGGAGACTGAGAGAAGAGGACTGCAAGTGCAAGCCTGGCCTTGGTGCCTTAGTGAAGCCCTGTCAGTTGACAAGGATTGGAGGAACTGGAACGCCATACACTCCTAATAGGAGTAAGAGAATGGTAAACTTAAAATATTTTGGTAGTGTTTAAAAAGCTGCTGGTGGGCTGGAGAGATGGTTCAGTGGTCTAAAGCACCTACTTGGAATAAGCTTGGCAAGGCATCAGGGACCGCGGTTCAATCCCCCAGCACCACATGCCAGCCAGCCCTGCCCCCTGGTGGGCTGAGCTGGCCACACACACCACACACACACTCTGTCTCTCTCTCTCTCTCTCTCAAATAAATAAAAATTTAAAAAAAAAATAATAAATAAATAAAAAGCTGCTGGGCTGCAAGCAGGGGCAGGGGCCAGGGGTTCGATCCCCCAGGGCATGCTGAGATGGTAATTGAGACAGCATGGTGGCACGTACCTGTATTCCCAGCACTTGGGAGGCTGTAAACAGGAGAATCACTGTGAGTCCAATCTAGTAGTGAAACCCTGAACACCCTGTAGACCCTTTCTTAAAATACAGAAAAAAAAAAAAAAAGAAAAAAGAAAGAAAGAAAAGAAAAAGAAAAAAAGCTGCTAGGATTCCAAGTGTGCCTGTCTGTTTTTGTTTTCCTTGAGACAGGCTCTTGCTATGTAATTCAGGCTGGCCTCAAACTTGGGTGAGTCTCTTGCCTCAGCCTCCCAAGTCCTGGGATTACAGGCATGCACCACCATGCCTGGCTGCAATAAATTTTTTTTTTTAAATATTTATTTATTTATTTATTTATTTATTTGTGTGTGTGGCCAGCTCAGCCCACCAGGGGGCGGGGCTGGCTGGCATGTGGTGCTGGGGGATT